CAGCTTATGTATTTTGTAGATTTGGATTTGATTGTAATTAAGGTAAAAAAACAATTCATAATTCATTTCAACATTCGCATCGCTTGATTTTTTAACAATATAGAATATCTAATTATAAAAAATAATTGAAAAAAAACAATGTAATACTCTCCCTTTGAAAAAATGAACTTTTACTTTTTGAAAAATTTTAATGTTAAACCAATGATCTTAGAATTTTACCCTCTACTAATTGGTATATGATATGATTATATTTTTAAATGATGAATTTTTTGACCTGATATCCAAGGTGGTATTTTTACATGATGGTGATACTTCGCTACGCTCGGTGCCCTGACCGTAATGCAATACCCCCCCTTGGAAAAAATGAAGACTTGCTTTTCCAGAGGGTCACTTTTCCCTCCACACTTTCTCTGTTACCATAATAGATGAAACATTGAGGTGTTAACCATTAATCTTAGAATTAATGATACCTCTGCATAAAAATTTTCTATATAATATTAATATGGGTAACTTACATCAATTTTTTTGATTGAATAAATAAAATAACAGCATACTTAAAATACTTATAATCATTTTATTCAATCCTTTGAGTGAAGTTAACACTTACTTAACTTAATTAATAACAGATGGACCTTTATATATTATTTACTATAACTTATTTTCAAAATGAATCTGCTTTTTAAGTTATAAATAAAAATAGAGGTTATTTAGAAATCCTTTATATTATGGTAGCTCAATTTTACCTAAATAACAAATAGCTTAATCCAACTAGAATTTATATTCAATTAATTTTTAATTCAAAAGTTAATAATTTATATATTAATATAATATGAAGGATATTTATAAAAAAAACTTCTCATTTTTCATAAAAATTCAAATTATTTTCCATTAATACATATATAATTTTCAGAATTTACATGAACAAATTACAGAATTTCAACCATTTTTAGAAAACTAAATATTAAATATGTATTAATAATTAGAAAAGCTGCTCAATAAAATAGATAAAATAAACAAAACTCTATCATCTACAGAGAATGAAAAACAAGTTAATACTTATGAAAAATATTTAAGATAAATTTAAATGAAGGAGAATATTCTAAAAATTGCATAGTTTACATGAATACCGTTATCCATGCTATAACAAGATACATAGTTCTGTAATGAACGATGGCTAATGAACAATCTGTCAAGGTAAATGTAGTTGGTCAGATCATAAATCTGAAAGTTTTCGTTATGAACCTAATAACAGAAGAAAGAAATTTTATTTAACTACGATTCCAAAAAAATAATATTTGTAGGATAATGATAGAAATCATAAGTTATAAAGCAAAATTTTAATACGCGAGTTAATGATATTGGTTAAAAGACTAAATCATATTTCGCAATAAATGACTTAATTAAATATGTTGAGAAAATAAATATTAATAATAATTATCCAATAAATTTATTAATTTTAGCTTTTTGAATTTAAACTGATTTACCAAAAAAAATTTTTTCATTCATTTACTTAAGAATTCCACTTTGAATCTTAGCGAGGATAATTTTCTTTTTAGATTGTATACAAATTCTTTAATTAACAATACTTTGATTAATAACAATATGACAATTCTTACTAACAAAACCATAACCAGCACTTAAATAAAATCAATTGAGCCTACCAATATTTGAAAATGATGTGAAAAAGTAGTTAACTTTTCTCATGCCATTACAACCTAAATATTGAAAGCCGAAATTTTACAGACCCTTCAGATTTGGAAAAGAGATCGAATTAACTATTAAATTGCATAAATCCTCAGATAAAATAATTATAGAAGAAGCATTTGCTATCTATTAAAATGCTTAAAGCTATAACAGATTTATTTCCTTAGCAATCATCTCAAAAATTAAGAAAACCTATTTTGGTTAATTCAATATTGCAATAACTGTGAAAAATTAGAAACTTAAAAGTTCAAATTGAATTGAATAGAAAGAACCTTTTTAAAACAACTTTTAGGTATTCCTAATAGTTTTCAGATTATTTTTAGAAATAAGAATGGACAAGAAAGTGAGAAAAATTAAAGAAGAGCATGTTAAAAACACGTTTTAGAACAGCAAAGAAGGTTTAATACGATTCCTAGAAGTAATATATCAGAAACAGAAAGGAAAAGGATAAAATAAAGAATAAACTTTGAAAGCTAGAGAAATTTAATTGCTCTTGATTGAGAATGCTCAATAATTATCTTCATATCTTCTAATGTAATAAAATAAAAGATAAGGCAATTAATAAAAATATAATTCTTTGTGAATCAAATTTACATAACAACAATTTTTAAATTTTCTAAACTTAATCACTAAATAGAATAGTGTTCAATTAAAATTATTAATTATTAAGATGCTGTCAAAATTATATTTTCAAAATTAACCTTATTACCTTTAAAATGGATAAAGCAGTCTCTAAGGCTAGTGAAGTTTAGAAAGAAGAAGTCTTTATGGCAATATCTGAATAAAAAATCCTTATTCTGATAACAAAGTTAAACAATTAAAATGATAATGTAATTACATGATAAATTTGTTTCAGTGAATTCCTGAATAATTATATTTTAATTTTTTGGCTATTTCATTATGCCTCTTGAATATATGAGATTTTGAAAAAAGTTGAGAAACTATTGATCCATTTATTATTCGTTGAATTGTTAATATAGGAATCATTTAGTAATATACCATAAGAAGCAATTAAAAAAGGAAAAACAATTAATAAGATAAAATCTTAAAATATATTAGTCAGATTTCTAAGTTTTGCTTTATCTTACTCATTTAGTTCTTCTGAAGAGAAGAAAGCACTTTAATTCTTTTTTTTTTTTTTCCAATTTTTAATCTACAATAGATTCTTTAAAATCCTTTTTTTACACATATTACTATTCTATTTAGTCTTTTCAAGAACCAAACTTCAAATCCAAACTTAGACAATCGCATTTAATAAGGGAAGTTTTGCACCACATCCAATCAACTGTTCTCATAATATCAAATAATTAAAACAAATCCATAGAAAAAAGGAGGGTTTCGCTTTTTTATAAATATGTAATCAGTCAACTCTATCGTAATATAACTCAGTATGTAGTTAGAAATTAAGATACAGAAATATATCTTAATATAACAAAATCGATATTAGAATTAACCAACAAGTAAATATGCAAAGTGATTATATTAAGACTCTTAAGGAGTTTGTAATTCGATAACAGGAGTAAAAAGATTTTAAATCTTAAATTTAGTCAAAAATGTTGACAACAACAGATAGATAGATTATTATTTAATCAACAAAATTAATAAAAAATTGATTAATAATAACAATTTTTAGTAGATAAACCAAATTCAAATTTTATAAATAAAGTATTAACCACCTCCAGCATCACTTCCATTAGCGTCCCAATAAATCAAAAACTATCCATCATTAGTTAATGATCCGAATATTCGAGTAGATTTGCAAGTTATCGTCCCTGCAATTTTCAATTCATCATTTGGATATTCTTTTAGTACATATATTCTTAATTTATGCTTAACAATTATTATTTTTTTCTCTTGATTATAACAAATTGGAAACAAGTGAAAATCAAATTCCTTGTTATTTTTTTATAAATTTATCCTCTTTTAATTATTTTCCAAAAATTCTTCCTTATGCTCATAAAAAACACATATGCAATCTAAACTATCTCTTTCACCTGATACCCAAATAAATTTATTATTATTTAGAAAACTAATTCTTGATCCAAATTCTTCAACAAATTTTGTAACATTTGTAGAGAATTTCCATTTATCATCATTTCCTTTTCTCCATATTATAATAGATTTATTATTCGATGATGATACTAAAATTGTTTCAGAATCATTCATTGTTAAACCTTCAACATCACCAGCTGTTAATTATAATGGATATAAATAATTCAATCTGTTTTGATTACAATCAACATCCCATACTAGAATTCTTTAATCAGAACTTCCACTTATAAGTTAATTTTCCTTTTTATTTAAAAGTATACAGTTTATTTAACCTGTATGTTAAAAATTTAACCCTGAGCAAATCCACTTATTTGAATCCAATTTTTTCCAACAGAGAATGGTTTTGTCATAAGATGCTGAAATCAAGCAATCTACTTTTTTACTAAAGACTAAACAACTTATATAATCTTTGTGTCTGTCTAATTGAGTTACAAATTACATCTTTCTATCAACAAATTCCCAAATAACTATTGTGTTTTCTTTGCTTGTGGCAATAATTTTATCAGTCTTATTAATTGAGATAGCATTACAAGTTTCATTTTGATAAATGGAATTGTTAACTAAAGCTAAGGAAATTTAATTGTCCTTTACTCGAACAGGAGAAATATCATTTAAAATTATTGATTATTTTAAAATTTATTGGCATTTTTAGATTTCTTGAAAATTTTGAAAATTACTTAGGTTGATTTCAATTTTTTAAATCCAAGTTGAACTTTTTTCATCTATACTTGAAATATATTCTTTTAATTAGTCATCCCATTTGTTATAAATTAAATTATCAATATCAGTTTTAAAATCTCCAGGAAAATTTTAGTAATTAATTTATTAGATAAAATACCTCCAACCTTCTGTGTATTTCTTTAATTGCTCTAATAATAAAAGTAGTAAGGATTTCAATTTCGAAATGGAGTTTTCAATTGAGAAGATCTGTTCTAATTTAAATTGTATAAAGGCTTATATAGATTCCTTTTATTTCTTCTTAAAATCGTTGATCATTTCTTCTACAAATTATATATCTAAAATCTATTCATCTGATTGCTGTTCTTCGCATTAGTCACACATGAATCTCTCTTAATCAGATAACTACTTATTCAATCTAAGCCTCGTGATTGGTTGATTATGTTAATTTTTACAGGCGAAACTCTTAAGAAATTACTCCATACTAATTTTTATAATTTTATTATTATTAAGAAAAATAATACATTTTTATCATTATAATATAGACTATGAATGGATTTTTATAATCATGTATTTGCTCTTCTTTGTAAAATTTCATCAAATCTTTCTAAACCAAGATCTAGAAATATTATACTTAATGTCTTTATAGCCAATTCATAGTTTTAATTTATTTCAAGTGCTTTTAAAACAAATTCTCTTGCTTCATTTACTCTATTTAATCCAAATAAGATTTCCCCTTTATAAAATATTACCATACCCTTATTTCGAAAATAAATTTAAATTCTTTACTCATATCTTCTTTTCTCTTAGTCAATAGCTTAATTTATGTATTATAAAGTTTTCTCATTATATTAACCCAAAAACTTCAGACAGTCAGCTTTGATTATCAATTCAAATACCAGCGTTAAAATTTCCTAATGGTGATTAAGGCTCATGCATAATCACTTTCAATGCATATTTCAACCCAAGTTCATAATTACATTACATTTTCTAGGTTATGGCTAAGCTTAATAATTGGAAATACTTAATCCTTTTAATGCTTTTAAATTCTATTTATCTTGTTTTAAAACTTCTTCAAAGTCAAATTATGCATAAGAAATATTATTAACATCCAAACTTAAATTACCTTTGTTATTAAGAACCAATGATACCTCTATGTATTCTAGCATCAATAAAATTTGGACTTATTTCTAAAACTTGAGTAAATTTTTCAAAAGCTTCTGTTTTTTTCTCCTTAGAGTATAAATCCTTAGCTTAACTGAATAATTTTAGCAGCCTGTCATTGTTATTATTTTCCAACTAATAATTTTATAAATAAAGATCACCACAGAATTTTATAAGGATAAATTTATTTTAATAGTCAATCCATTAAATCTACTATTGATCTCTTTAATTTATGCTGTAACTTCTTGGAAAAATACAAAAAATTTATTATCTTTCTCAAACTGTTCTAAATAATTTTGACATTACTCCCTTTTATCTCAAAGCATCTCCTGAGTTATTAAAATAAATTTAGTAATTGTTTATAAATTTATTGAATTCTTAATTATTTAAATCTATTTCATTCAAGTCTTTTTCTATATTTGTTAGATTTTGATTGCCTCTAGCATCGTTTTGAGAATCATTGATATTATGAATATTAATAATCATAGATAGAAAAAAAATAAATTTGTTCATATAATTATTAGCTTTTGTATTAGAATTCCGAATTTTTTTTAATTAAATCTAATGAATCACAAATTGAGTTGTTTTGAAGACAAAAAATAGAATCCAGAAAGATCGAAGACTTTTTATAAACTTTTTTTAAACTGTTTATGGTATTCATAGTCTTTTGTTTCAATTTAAAATAAGTAGAGCGAATAAATTTTATCAAATTAAACAAATGGATCTAGACATTTATCAATAGTAACATAATAATGTAAAAATTGTTATATGAGGGAGGGAAACTAATTGTATTATGTAACAAAAAATAATTTTTAAGGCTGGACAAATGGAAGGAGATAAGCCAATTGGAATTTGGAGGATTAATATTGATTCATCCTTAATTAATAAATTTGAAGCGAAAACAATTTTTCTTGAATTTTAACAGAATGGCATAACTTTGTTTATAGAGTCAGGGTAAATCAAATAATTTTCAATTAAACTAATCAATTAGTTAAAAAAAAAATTATTTAGCTCTAAGTTTAAACAAGAAGCCCAGATAGATTAAATAGAATTTGAACAAAGTATTTTTACTAAATTTAAAGATCGAGTGTTGGGCTGGTATCTATATATTATTGAAATTTCTTAGCCAAATAGATAATAGTGAAGAATATTATACTCATTAACTTTTATGCCAAAATTTAATATTAAATGACTTTTATTTTCCAAAGTATTAAAGATTAGTATTTTTAGGATGCATCCTCCTTCTATTCCATATTTTAAAAAGCTAACTATAAATTAAGAGTATATTTTATTGAGCTTTTATTAAAGTGGCAGTGAAGTAGTGTGTTTTGGTTAATAGTATGAAGGGAAAAAAACTGGGGAGTTCTTCATTAAATTTAGAAATGATTCTGACTCAGAATTTTAAACCATGTATAGCTCAGCATAAATCAAATTAGTGGAGGTGGAAGTTATCAAATAAATGGAAAAAAACATGGAGGATGGATAAAGATTTCAAAATTTTTTTCCAAGTTTAGAATTATACTTAAATTTGATAGATTAAACTAAATCATTATTAAAGGATAATTTAATGATGGAGTTAAATGTGACTATTTTTCTATTGAGATTAGAAAAAATTTTGATGAAATGTGGGAAAAAATGTAGAGTTATGTTTTGATATTTTAGTGGAGGGGGATTATATGATAAATAAGGAAGATAAGTAGGTGCTTGGGTTGAGCAATATGATTAATTAAAGTAACAATTTATGCTTATAAAAGTTTTTCTGAATTTCAATTCAATATTTTATATAAAAATAGTAAATAAATTTTGGATTTGGATATTTATTTTTTGGAATCTAATGGATATTTTAAGCAAATGTATAAAATTACTGGTTTATCAATTAGCTATAATTATATATATGATGATTATTAATTTTCAGAAAATAAATGGATAAATTAAAAGCTAGAATTTATTCTGTAATGATTAAGATCATTTAGAGAAAATAATAATTACTTTTTGTTGGTTAATATGATTTAGGAAAAAGATAAGGAGAATGGTAAATAGTCTCATAAAACTCTATACTGTATATTAATAAATTATTGATTTAGAGGAGGAGGATCATACGATGCTGATGGACTGAAAAATGGAAAATGGACAGAAGTACAGTATATATTATCAGGGTAAATTGAATTTTATGCTTTGTTAGATGTATTTTGATCAAGGAAACAGGAGAATATTAAAATGGAATAAAAATAGGTCAATGGGTTGTTAATTGGGTTGAAATTTTAACAAAAAATAATAAAATTATGTATTTTTCTGTTGATATATCAAAGTGGAGGTGGAAATTATGATAATAACGGAATTAAATAAGGACTTTGGTAGGATTTAATTGAAGATTTTTGTGAGTATTTATTGCCAAATAATAATCAGATAGAATAAATTAATATATAAAGGGACTTATCAAGATGGAGTAAGGATAGGCGAATGGATCATATTAAGCACGAAAGATATTCCTAATTTTACGAGCACGAATTAATATAGTATAAAAGTGAGAGGAGGAGGAAAATATGATCAAAAAGGACTAAAAGATGGTTTATGGAATGAACCCTGTTAAAGTTATCGACAGTATTTTCTCATTTATAAAAGAAAATGTGAAATTTTTTAAAATGGTGAATATAAAAAGGGGAAGAAATTTGGATAGTGGAATATTACTTTTAAAAAAAAATTATTTCTCAGAGACAATAAAGAATCTAAATTTGAAGAAATGTATTGTATAATATAAATATTAGTGGAGGGGGAATCTATAATGATTCTGGTGAAAAAATTGGACTTTGGAAGGAGTTATCTGACAATTTTAGTGAGTATAATTACTTTAAAATTTAGAGATTCGCAAATTGTACTTGAAGGTAATTATATAAATTGTAAGAAAACTGGAAAATGGATTAGCAAATATAGATATAGCGAAAGCAATAACTTTGAAATCATGTATAACTACAGTGTATTTAATTTAGAGGATGTGAAAACTATGACTAAAATGGTTTAAAATCTGGGTTATCGAAGGAAGTAAGCGAAAACTTTTCAGAGTATTCTTCAACTCAATATAATAGTTCATGCTAAGTTATTGAAATAGTTTAATATCAAAATGGTAAAAAGTTTGGAAGATCTTAAATTGAATATAGAAAAATTCATGGTTCTTAATTTGTTTAAATGTAATATAATATTGATTGTTTTTAGAGGGGAAGGGAATTATAATTAAAAAGGAAAAAAAGATGGAATTTGGACAGAGTTACATTATAAATTTAGAGAGTATATTTTAATTATAGTATAAGTTTTTGTTAAGTAATGAAGAAAGGATCATATTAAAATGGAATAAAGTAGGATAATTGGGATATACTTTTCCGCGAATTCGCTGATCAAGACTTCGTTAAAATGTAAAGTATTATAATAACAATAGAGGAGGTGGTGTTTTTGAGAAAGGTGTTAAAAATGGATAGTGGACTGAGATTGATGATAAATTTTGTAGGTAACTAGATGATCTATCCTAGTAGATCTCGTTAAATAATATAGAAACTAGAATATAATTTAGGATAAAAAGTGGGAAGATCCGAAATTTTTTTTAGAAATCATAAAACAAATGATTTTTTGGTTATGTATTAAGTTTGATTATGGAATAGTGGTAAGGGTTAATATGATACTACAGGTAGTAAACATGGAGAATGGTTAGAACCACATGAATATTTTTGGGAGTAAGATTGAATAATAATAATCTTAGACACTATCAATTAAATTGGCTTGGATCATATAAATTTGGAGTTAAGCAAGGTCTTTGGTAAATCTCAAAAAATTTATGGTCCTAACCAACTGATATTATGTAAAAAATTCTTAAAATAGATGAGAGCTGGAGGTACTTATGATGATGATGGAAATAAAGATAAAAAATGGACTGATTTAGGTTGGAATTGCCTTTAATCCAGTTTCATTTTGTCTGAAGGAGAATATTCATCAGGTAAGAAAACGGGCGAATGGGTTTTAAAATTGCAAGTTTATGATGAAATATAATAGATGTAAGTTTATATGTGAATTTAGTGGTTCTTGTAGTTATGATGATAATGGTTTAAAAAATGGAAAATGTATTGATTTTGATCAAAACTTCTTCTTGTAAATCATTTTATAATCTTAGCAATAAATGTGCATATTAATCTACATATATACATGGAATTAAATTGAATGATTCTAGAGAATTTTTTATAAGGTGATATTAGTGAATACATGATAATCACATAAATATAAAGTATTTAAAATGAAAAAAAAAATAATTAGCTTAAATTGATTATGAAAATATGAGATCCAACCTTCCTAAAAATTGGCTAAACTATTTTATAGATTGTTGTAAGATTGTTAACTGATCCCAAAAAAAGATAAATTATTGGATAACCATTTTTAATATTTTTATCATTATTTTCTTTTGCTAGAACTCATTCAAATTTAATTTTTTTCTAACTTATTATCCATAATTGGGTGCTGGACTTCCTTCAAAAAATTAATTTTTTTATTTAAGGGTATTAAATTTTAATAGAACCTTACAATAAGAGATTTAGAATGCAGCATTCAGTGTTTAATTTTCCCCAAATTTAATTACATAAGAATGTTGATTGAAGACTTAATTCAAGAAAAAAATTACGTTATGATAAGCTTTTATATATATTTATAATTATTGTCACTCAATTTTTAAATTTCAAAATACATCCTAATATTGTAAAAGCAGCACTTAAGTATTAAATGTATGGTATTCCCATTATGTATTGATATAAGTAGACTATGGAGGAGAGAGAAAATAAAAACACTTCTTGATGATTAGAACAAAACGAAACTAGCAGTTAATTACAGATAATTGGTAGATATAGTTACAATGATGCCCTTAAATATTGCTTCCCTTAAAGTCTTTATAGATAATTGGACTCATATTTATTTTTTAAATAAGCTGTATGACCCATGAATGCAATTACTGCAATACCTGTTGTCCAACAACCATATTATAGATATTTCTAATCTGCAGGAATGATCTATTTTTTCTATTTCAACATTTCTTTCACAGCATACCCAGCTATCAGTTTTTCCATTATTTTTTATTATGAATGCCAAAAAAGAAAGTTAAATTATATTTCTGAATACAATTAAAAATTTTAAATGTTCAAAAATTAACTAAACACTACATTTACATAAGAATCTAAGCTTATTTTTGTTAAACTCATTCCCATTTGACTTTGAAATTAATTTCCTTATATTTTTTGTAGAATTTAATAATTGGAATATTCAATTTTATAAAATCCATTATATTTGATGATTTTTTTATATGATATATCTACCTTAATTTTAGTTATAAATTATTCAATTATAAAGTTAAAATTTATCACCTCCTTGACCTTTTTGATTCAAATTAAACATTTTCAGTCTCTCTTTTTTTAATTTAATTGGTTCATTATTATTTTGAAAGTTTTTCACATAAGGTGATTTGTGAATCATTCCTGGAAGCAAAATTTTACTACCAAAATAAGGCTATGATTTTTGATTAGTTTTATTATTCATAGCCTTTTCAAATCTTTATTGTTAGTATTCTTAGCGAAGCCGATGAAGTTTTTTTAAACTAATCTCATTTTGTAATTCTCCAGAACTTTTATTTATACTATCTCTACCAGATCCTAAATCTAATGATCGATTAATATATCGTCCTTTGGCAGATTTTCTTTATGAACTTGGAGGATGATAGGAAGGAGGACGATTTAATCTTGAAGAATATTTCTAAGAAATTCTATATTTCATTGGGTCATCTAGTTTATCTAATTGAAAATAAAATATACTGGTTAGACTTGTATTTAATGTATTTGGTGATTTGTGTACTTAGGCTAACTAAACTACTGGTGGTAATTTTAAATGAGATTTATTTTTTTAATATCTAATTGTATGCATACTTTACCTTTAAATTCCATATGTTTACCCACTTTATAATTAATAGTAAGGAGAATCAACTCCAGGTAGGCTTGGCACTTAATAAATATTAGAGATATTCTAATACCTTTTTTAAGGACATTAGTTTTTTATTTAGCACTCTAGACAATTTTAGCTTATTATTTATTAATCTATGTTCTTAATTATTTGACTTATTCATCTTAGATTTATTCTTGGTATCTCCTTTTCTTTTCTTAAATTTTTATTTCAACTGTTTCCTAAATTGATGTTATTATATTTTACAATTTTAAATTCACCCTATTTCATTATTCCTTATAAATAGTTTTTGTAATTGGAATCTTAAATTTATTAAACCTATTTTTATATATCAACTTTTTGCACTTCATATTCTATTAATTACTATTCTAAATCATCTTAGCTTCTTTTTAGTATTGCTTTTTAATTTTTTGCATTATCCATTCTTTCTTATAATCTCATCTATTCAAACTTGTCTTGTGTTCTCCCTTTTTAAAATTACAGAAATCCAATATTTTATTAGAAATGATTTTGTTGTTCTTCCATTTCATATATTTAATTTTTTGTTTGGATGATATCCTCAACATTTTAGTGAATAATTGATTCTAATTCAGAAACCTATTATTTTAAATTTTATTAAACCCCTGTAGGATTCTTTTAATTTATTTATGGCAGTTCTAAAAATTTATCATTCTATAATACTTAATTATGGATTATTTTGACTATATTACTGTTATTAAATTAACAATTTTAATTCTTCATTTTCCTATCTTAAATTTTAAATCAATTATGCATAATTGCTTAT